GCACCGGTCCCGAGGCGGTCAAAGCTTGAAATTTCAGGGTTCAGGGCTTAGGGCTTGGGGGACAGGGCTTTAGAGCTTGTGGGGGGCGTGGAAAGGAATGCTATGGGGCTGTAGGCCTTGGGTGTGTCTTTAAACTCAACGTAAGGTTTCAGGAGATTCGGCAAACAGGTTGCAGTTGTGCCTTTCATTGCCCTGCTAGTTCAAGCCTACTTGTGAGGGACTGCGCACGTTCTGTCTTGAGACGCTTTCCAGGACTACGACATCGCGGGGTTTTCTGGCGCAGCCGAATGGCAAAAGGAAGAAGCTGGCGTGAGGAAAGGACCTGCAATGGGCCACGAAGCAAAACCAAGAGCCCCACGGCGCTCTAAACCCTGAGCCCTAAGCCCACAAGACCCATATATGATGTGAAGACATCTGCTATCCCAGTCGCAGCAAAGTGAGTTTTTCCGGAGACCTGGCGACCATGCTGTGATGGTTCAGCATGTGTAATTGTGTTCGAGACTAGTTAAACTCTTACACCGACTTGAGTCTGTAGTTTGAAGCCTCGATCTTACCTGAGCCGGGTGAATCCGAAACGTGTAGACTCAATTTAGAGGCTCCAAGCAGCATCGTTGCGTCGTCGTTTCTCGCAGCTGACAGTCTCAGAGCTACTGGGAACATCCTGCGTCGTAGTTGATGAACAAACGTACAGAACAACTGATAGCGAGAACAGCGCTCGAGTCCTCGACCCTGCTCGCGATTGTCAGTTCTACACCCTCAATCGCCCGAAATCGTAAGGGCTCGGACCCCTAATTTGACTAGTGCCCTGAACACGACAAGCATCGAACATCACCCCTCGGATGGCTTTGTTTCAGAGCCATGGGTGGCTGGAGTGCCACTGGCCACTTCCGGACACATGCGAGGCGTCAAGCGCGGATACATGTTCGCCCGTGTCCTTCGATCCCTGGATGGGCTTTAGTTTTCCGGGTTCACGATGTTGGAATCGGAAGTTGAGGGGCCTGCGGTGGCATGTCCGGCAGATCATGATTCCAGCGTGCGAAACTTTGGCAAGGATGGCAACATCCTTTCGGATGCTGAACCTCGAATCCTCGACACCCTGAAAAAGCCTTGCATCCCCCCGAGCACCCAAAGTTATCGTAACCCATATGCAGGTGACCCTTTTCGTAACCTGCATATCGTAGTATCCGCGATCTCCCTTAGCAGCCCTCTAACTCCTAGAACTTTGGTAGAGACCCCAAAACCCTAAGACCTAAAACCCTAGACCCAGAATCCCTAAACCCTAACCCCTAGACCCCCTAAAGAAACCGACGAGGCGTCCCTCACCGAGCTTTTCGGGCGCCGCTGCGCGACGGAGCCCTGGGCCGCGGCTTTGCGCGTTCCGGGTACTTCCGAGGCAACTCGGGGAAGACGTCGCGACGTAGGTTTAACAATTACGAAGATCATAAGTTATCATAAAGAACATTCGGAAACCACTAAGAATAGTAAGAATAGGAATCAGAAGATAGTAACAATTGCAGCAAAACTGAGAACAGCCATCATGACCATAGCAGCAGCGATAGCAGCGATAATGCCAATACCAATGGCAAAAGCAATCGCAATCGCAATAGCAATAGCCATAGCAGTAGCGATAGCAATGGCAATAGCAATCATAATGTCATGAAGTATGCATGCATGCATGCATGTGTGTGTGTGTGTGTATGTGTGTATACATGTATGTACACATGCACAATCATCGCAAGATCTCAGGGCAACCTGCTAGCCTTCGTCGTCGTGGCCAAAGGCGAGGCGTTGGATGGCTTGGCTTACTTGGCGCTCATGGCCCACTGTGACAGCCACCTACCGCGGATCATGCGACCCAGAAGGCCAACCACCTGACTCGCCTGTTTCACCCGCGGCATCCCGCAGAAACATGCCCATGGTGCGGTTCTTGCTGAACCTCAGCTTCAAGGTGAATTTCCGAGACTGCTGAGCGCGCTGTTTCACGCGATCAACAACTCGCACATGGACGTGGTGAACGTTCTGGTCGAGCATGGCGCGTCACAGTTGGTGAAATCACCAACTGTGACGCGCCATGCTACACCACGGTGTGCCTTTCTACGCAACGGCGCCCCTGAGCACGCTGGATGCAGCAGCCTCAGACGTCTGCAAACCTCTTGACAGATGAGCATTCTTACGTAGGTTCCTGATTGTGGACAATATAACCCCTCTAGGTTCTTGATGATGAGCAATAATCCCTCTTGCGCAAGGGGGGGTCTGTTAATCACGTGCATGCGTCGGGTCATGGAGGGTAGAACGGGGACTTTAACGGGGTACCCAAAGCGCGTGCTGGACTTCTCAAGGCCAGAACCGCGGAGCGGCTCGGACATTCCCATCGAGGCGCGCGTGGAAGTCATGGTCTTGGTTATCAGTGCTCAGTCACAGACCAGAAACTCAGAGTCCTCAGCCACAAAGCCAAAGAAACGAGCCTTCCCTGAATGCCATCCGGGTGGAGAAGCGGACACGCCCCTGCAAAAACCTAGCTCTCGGGCTCAAGATCTGCCCGAGATGGATCCGGATTTTTTGTTTGAAACGGTGCGTGATGGCGACTTTTCGGAAGCCAAAGAGGCGCTGTCGAAAGTCGACGTGACCTGGCGGCACAGCCAGCTGAAGCAGAACGTGATGTTCTTCATTGCGGCAAGACAGCGCCGCGGGTCGGAAATCCTCGGCAGACGTGCCGTCCGAATGGGAGTTGCTTTGGCAGAGGTGGACACGAACCACCAGACGCCCTTGTTCTACGCTGCCTCCCGTGGAAACCTGCCCATGGTGCGGTTGTTGCTGAACTTGGGATTCGAGGTCAATTTCCGGGACTGCTGGAAGGAGACCGCCCTCTTCTACGCAATAAATAATTCGCACATGGATGTGGTGACCGTTCTGGTCGAGCATGGCGCCTCCCAGTTGGTGAAATCCAAGAAGATCAACAAGACGCCGCGAGAGCTTCTGAAGGCGAAGAACCAGCTCGTGCCCGACACCCGCAAGCGGCCACGACCTTCCCCGACTCCTCCGAGCCCCTGTCCTGCTGCCCTTGCAAGGAGCCGTCTTGCCATCTTTGAATGGCAGAAGGAAGAGAGCGCCACTGAGCCATCGATCGAAAAGGCTGAGGACCACGTCGTGGTCGAAAGTGAGGACTTCTTTGTCAGTGATACTGTCAAAGATTGCGCCAAACGGCTCCGGCGCTCCGAACGGGAGTTTGCCGTGGATCATGCGGACCTACACGCGGCACAGCCATGGTGCGAGCACCTAACTGTAAAAGAAGCCGCAAAATTAGTAGGTGTGCCAGCAGAGGTAACCGACGAGGCCGAAGAGAAACACGTCGCCTGCATTGAAGAGCTGGCGACGGGACTCAACCCGACCAAGTTTACACTCACAGCTGTTTCAGAGAGGACTAAGAACGTTGCCGGCTACGTGTTCGCCCACTTCGAAGACAAAGAACCTAGGTGGCACTTTGGGAAACTTTAAAGTTTCCTTGTGGTTCCTATAGAGGTATTGACTCATAGATTTTTCAGGGCCCCAAAATGCTCCCACACAGGAGCTCACGATCGGGCAGCTGAAGGTTGATCGCCCGCACCAGGGCAAAGGCTTAGGCGGCCTGCTTCTGGAAGCCGCAGAGAAAAGGGCCGTAAAGCTGGGATGCTCGCTCTCCAGGGTGAAGCTGAGTGTGTTGGAGACCAACGAGAAAGCGCGGCGC